GAACATTCAATGCAAACTAAGAAAGGTTCTCAGAACACTCGTTCGTGGGCCCCCGGGCGAGCCAGGACGCTTCGTCGCAGGCCTGCCACGGCCCCGCGGACTCCCGGTGGTGCAGGCCCCGCTCGGCCCCCTCGATCGTGGGGGCCTCCAGACCTCCAGGGCGGCGCCCCGGCCGCTGCCCAGCACGGCAGCAGCCAGCTGACCTGAAGGGGCCCTGGGACACACAAATAAATATACAAAATCACAGGATTCCCCATATTTTTGTATATTTTTTGGGTTTTTGTCTTCCCCCCCCACTTCCCATATTTTCGCATATTTTCTAGGGAATCGACGATTACTTGTGTCTGTGTGTTTTTTCCCTCCTGAGATCCCTTCTCCCAGAACCGTTCGGGCCTGTCAGCGTCTGGGGACCCCCGCCCTCCCCGAGAGCCCGGCCTCCTCCCTCCTGTGGCCCGCGCCCTCTTGTCGAGCTCGCCTCGCTCCCCAGCTCCCAGGGCCTCGTCTTTGCTGTCTGCGGGTTCGGAGCCCGCTGTGGGAAACGCGCTCGCGTCCAGGTGTGGGGTAGCGGTTTCGACATCCATCTGCCCAAACTTTGCCGCTCTCGGGGAAGGGCCTGTGCTCACGCTCACAAGCGTCACATGGGCCCGGTTTCTGGCAAGCTATGGACTCAGGTCGCCCAGAGCTATCCCAAGAGAATGGCCAACTGTGTTGCTGCTGCCATCATGCGCTCCGTTCAAGCCTTGCACCTGGCCCGAGTGCAGCAGTTACGTAATGTTCGAATCGATTGATTTCGGCCTTCGGCCAGAAGCCTTCCTGGGACTCGGGTGCGTCCCCCCTTCTCTCCGCTCCTGGTGGTTGGTGGTGTCCTCTTTCCTGCTCCCTCTCCTCCTCCAATGCCGATTGCTCCTTGGCACGAGCTGGTCGGTGCTCATCGACATCTCGCCTGGCCTGCGAACAGAACATCATTTTCTGGCGTGGTTGGCGCTCTGGATGGGCGTTCTTGAGCTTTGTTCCAGAAGCAGGAGAGCCGCTGGTCATCAGCACAGATGGCAATGCCCCAGCCTGGAGAAGGGGCGAGGGGAATTCTTGACAAACGGGTCGGTTTGTACATAATCTTCCCCACCCCTCTTTCGAGCTCTTGTCCCGCTTTGGCGGCACACTGACCATCTCCGTAGCTTTTTCTCTCGCCCTGCCTCCCTTCTCTTTCCTACCCCCTCCGCTCCTGGTCGGTGATTGTGTCCTCCTTCCTGCTCCCTCTCTTCCTCCACTGCCAGTTTCTCTTTGGCACGAGCCGGTCTGGTCTCATCGATCCCTTGCCGGGCCTGTGAACATAAAATCGCTCTCTGGCTTGGGTGACCTGTAGTACAGAAGCATGACGAGAGCTGCTGTTACTGGCACAGGTGGCCAATACTCAGCAATGTGATGATAATGGTGATGCCGATGATGGTACGGACCAGGATCAGAATGATGATAAGGGATTGGGGAGAGAAGGAGGAGGAGGAGGAGGAAGGAGGGGGGAGGAGGGACGGGCGGGAGGAGCAGGACGAAGAAGAAGGGAGAAACCATCATACATCCAATCTGCTTTGAAGATGCTGCAACACACCCTCTGGTCCCAAGTCCCCTCCTCGTACGTGTTTGCAAGCATTCATTTTCAGTGCCCGAAGACCCCCTTGAAAGACAAGGTGACATGGGTCCGCACTTTAGGCGGGAGAACTGACCAATATGTTTCGGCCATTCGGAATGCGAAAAGGCGAAGACATAATCCAACCAGCCCTCTGGGCGCAGGTGGTCTAACGAGATCTGTCTTCCCTCTTCCAAATTCTCCCTTTCTCCTTCGGGGAGGGGTTTACCCCTACACAATTACTCAATCTGAATACTACTCTCCCTCTTCCCCTGATGACGGAATGGGAGTAGCCGACCCCCCCCCGCGTACTGTTTTTTTGCACAAGTTTCCCCGGAGTTGGGTTTTCGCCTGCATTTTTTTCCACAATGCTGCTCTCGCTGAGGCGCCGGCCTCATTTTCGGGCCCCGCTCGTTCCGAATCGTGCTCCCGCTGCAGCGCGGGCCTCATTTCCGCCGGCGCCTGGGCTGCACGCCCGAGCCGGCGCCTGGGCCGGCGCTCGGGCCGCCTGGTCTGGAGCCGGTTCTGGCCGCCCCCGGAAACTGGAGTTCCGAGGCGGCGCTTCCGACGCCCGGGCCGGCGCCCGAGCCGGCGCCCGGGCCGGACGCCCGAGCCGGCGCCCGGGCCGGCGCCCGGGCCGGGTCCGGAGCCGGTTCAGGCCGGCGCCGGAAAATCGAGTTCCGAGGCGGCGCCGAAAAAAAGCCATTCTAATACACATTTTTCTTTTGAGCATGCTCAATTCTGCTTCCGGCGCCCGGGGGGCCTCCGGGGCCGATTCCGACGCCTGGGCTGGCGCCAGAGCCGGCGCCCGGGCCAGACGCCCGAGCCGGCGCCCGGGCCGGCGCCCGGGCCAGGTCCGGAGCCGGTTCCGGCCGGCGCCGGAAAATCGAGTTCCGAGGCGGCGCCGAAAAAAGGCCATTCCAATACACATTTTTTTTTTTTTTTTGAAAATGCTGAATTTCTGCTTCTGGCGCCCGGGAAGCCTCCCGGGCCGATTCTGTCGTGCTTTCGCTCGTTTCGAATCGTGCTCCCGCTGCAGCGCTGGCCTCATTTCCGCGCTTCCGCTCGTTTCGACTCGTGCTCCCGCTGCAGCGCTGGCGTCATTTCCCGTGCCATGCCACGGCATGCAATGCAATGCTAGGTTGATACTACGCTTCGCGGTGCTCGTCTACGCCATGCCATGCCGTGCTCTACAATGCATCGCGTACCCTTTCGGGATCATTGCCCTGCTCGACATCCGACTGTGCGAGTAGAGAGGGGATCTGCGCCATGGTAAGGGATGGGAGGGAGGGGTAGGATGTCAGATATGACGCGAGCGCACCTAGCTTGCCCATACCCCCTCCCCTGGACCTGGACGGGGGGGCCGCAAGGTGTCAGAGAATCTTTTTCGCCCAAGATGGCTCCAAGAGGGCCTCAGAGAGCCCATAGATCGCCCAAGAGAGCCCAACATGGCTCAAGATAGCTAAGAACATGCCTCCAAGAGGCCCCAAGAGGGTCATAAGACGGTTCCAGGTGCTTGTGGCGACCCCTCAGGACCTCTCCGAGAAGCCAAAATCCTTCAACACCGAAGGAACATCACATATCATTGCCTTCTCGCCCTTTCGCTTCCGATGCGCTTTCGAGGCCTCAATATGGCCCTGAGATGGCCCAAGAGAGCCCCAAGAAGGGCCCGAGAGGTTCCCAAGACTGCCCCAAGAGCGCCCAAGCTCGCCCCAAGAGGGCCCCAATAGCGCCCCAAGAGGCTATTTCGATGGCCCTGGAGGGGGGAGGGAAATCGAGGACCCCCCCTCCTTTGATCGATGGCCTCCAAGATGGCCCCAGGAGGCGCTCCATAGCTCCCAAGAGGGCCCCAAGAGAGCCCCAAGAGGGCCCCATGAGGGCCCCAAGGCGCCCCCAAAGAGCCCCAAGAGGATCCCAAGACCCCCCAAAGAGCCCCAAGAGGGCCCCAAGATGCCGCAAAAGAGCTCCCAGAGGACCCCACTATCCCCCAATACAGCCCCGTAGCTCCAAGAAGGCCTCCGATGCTCCAAGATAGCCTCCAAGGTGGCTCAACACCCTCCTTCCTCTCCTCTCCTTGCACGCTCTGTTTCACTATATGTGTCTCTTCGTCCCTTTTCCCGTCAACTCTCATGGACAGGGCACCTGAACGGGCTGGTGGCGATTCGCGAACCCTAAACAACTTTTGAAGTCTTCAGCGACCACCTCGCCCTCGCTTCGAGAAGGAACCACCCTCCATGGCGCAGGTTGGAACCTCTTTGCTCAAGTCTAGATCGAACTTAGCAAATGGCACCCTCTACAAAAAAGAGACGTCCTCCATCCGTGCAACTCTTGCAAAGCGTTGAACCTCGACTACCGGGTCGTCTGGGGTGGAGAAGGATGAAGACGAGGCGGAGGAGAAGGAGGAGGCGGAGGAAGAGGAAGAGGAGCAGAAGGAGGAGGAGGAGGAGGAGGAGGAGGAGGAGGAGGAGGAGAAGGAGGAGGACGAGGAGGAGGAGGAGGAGCAGGAGGAGGGAGGAGGAGAGAGAGAGGAGAGAGAAGAGGAGAGAGGAGAGGAGGAGGAGAGGAGGAGGAGGAGGAGGAGGAGGAGGAGGAGGAGGAGGAGGAGGAGGAGGAGGAGGAGGAGGAGGAGGAGGAGGAGGAGGAGGAGGAGGAGGAGGAGGAGGAGGGAGGAGGAGGAGGAGGAGGAGAAAGAGGAGGAGAGGAGGAGGAGGAGGAGGAGGAGAGGAGGAGGAGGAGGAGGGGAGGAGGAGGAGGAGGAGGAGGAGGAGGAGGAGGAGGAGGAGGAGGAGGAGGAGGAGGAGGAGGAGGAGGAGGAGGAGGAGGAGGAGGAGAACGAGGATGAGAAAGAGGAGGAGAAAGAGAGGAGGAGGAGGAGGAGGAGGAGGGAGGAGGAGGAGGAGAGGAGGAGGAGAGGAGGAGGAGGAGGAGGGAGGAGGAGGAGGAGGGGGAGGAGGAGGAGTCTCCGTGCGGCAGACGCTGAGGAAGTCTCAAGCGACTGACTCGCCCGGCCCGCCCTCACGACGCGTCCGGTGGTGCGACAATCGGGGGCGCGCAAACATGGATTAGCGATCCATGGATTTGGCGCGAGGTCGCCAAATCCACGGATCGGGGGAAGTGCCCTCCCCAAAATGAGGCCGGTGCCGCCTCGCTCGGCGGCGGAAATCCGCGGTTTCCTATGGAAACGGGACCCGTCGCTAGTCCACGCCCCCTTGACCCATGGGGGCAGGGCACTTCCAAGGAAGGGGTATGGCGAAGGGAGGGGTGGGGGGAGCGGGACGAGGAGGGACAGCGCGGGGAGGAGCAGGAGCAGGAGGAGCCAGGGAGGAGGAGGGGGCAAGGAGGGCCAGAGCGAGGGGCATGAGCTGTCAGATGGCCCGGCTCCTCGTCCTCCTCCTCTTTCTTCCTCTTTTGCCTCGGCCGCACACGGGGCGCGCGCGCGCCTCCTCTGACCTGCCGCGCATCCCCCAACGTGTCTCGTCGACGTCCTCCTCTTCCCTCTTCCTCTTGCCTGCTCCTCTTCCCTTCTCCTCCTCCTCCTCCTCCTCCTCCTCCTCCTCCCTCCCTCCCTCCCTCCCTCCCTCCTCCCTCCCCTCCCTCCCTCCCTCCCTCCCTCCTCCCTCCCTTCCTCCCTCCTCACTCTTCCTCCTCTTACCTCCGCCCCTTCACTCCTTCTCTTTCTCTCTCTTCCTCCGCCTCCTGCTCCTGTCTCCCTTCTCCTCTCCACCCTCCACGGTGAACCAATGTGAGTACCACTCTTCTCTCTCCAGATGCGTCCAGCGCGGCTACCGCCTCTCTCGCGTGAGCAGGAGAAGCAGGTCGCCCGATTGGAGGGCAAGAAGCGCAAAGTCGGCACGGAACTTTCCGCAGCAGGAGGATGTGCGGGAACAGCATCAGCAGCAGCGGCACCACCTGAAGCTGAAGAAGCCAAAGGGCAAGCAGCCAACCACTCAGCGAGCCAGCAAGATGAGAAAGTGCTCAACATCGCGGGAGGCTGGCTACTGATGACGGCATTCGCCAGGCAGCTCAACCACTAGAAGATCTGCTCATGCCGCTGACCAGTGCTGCGGCACAAGCCCAGGAAAGACTTCGGGGAAATAAGGCTCGGGGCCCGTCGACTTCCTGGATATCACAACGGTTTCGATGAAGACCGCCTGGATGCAAATAATTTTCGAACAGGTCTACATGGATCCGTGCGCAGGCATGCAGGGCAGCAGCCTTACGTATGCAGCTCAAGACTTTCGGGGACTTCTTGAGAGCCCAAACTGTTCCATGAATTCTTGCAAGTGGCTGGAATTCTACCCCAGAAGAGCTTCATCCGTGGGCATAGGTGAGGCAGGCGACAGTGCGCGAACCTAGCAACATGCAGATCACCACTACTGATGGTTGTGAAGAGATGCTTGATGTCGCTGTAGTTGCGGTCGACATGCTGCCTTTCGTGAGATCGGTCGAGGGCTCTTGGAACGGCAAATGGACAGCCCGTGCAGGCTAGGGGTTGACGCAACAGACGCTCAACTTCGAACGTGCTCGATACTCTGACAATTCTCCATCCACCGGCGCTCCCGAAGAAAGCCGACCCCAACAGCAAAGGATCCCAGCAAAAGAAACTTCTTCTTGCATCCAGACAGACCTGCCACAGAGCTCAGTCGTTTGTCGTGCTACCTGGGTCGGGAACATCTCCGAATCAGTGTGCGGTGGATCTACAAACTTGCCCCCGCACTGACGAGTGCCCAAAGGATCACCAAGGTGCCACCAAAAGGCCAGTCGAAGGACAGCCTGCCCCCTCCAACGTGAGCCGTGCCCTGACCCCATGGACGAGATAGAGGAGGCGTACGAGGAGCGGCAGGCAGAGGAGGAAAAGGAGCAGCTGCAGCAGGAGCCTGAGCAAGAACCCCCAAAACGAAAAACACATAAGAGGAGTCCGACCTCAGCAAGGATGCCAGGACCCTCCGGGACCTCTGGCAGCAGACCAATCCCAAGATGTAGGACCTCAAACAGATCCACAAGGGAGCACCTCAGGATGTCCCACAATGCGCCCTCGGCTAGGTCAATGCCAGACAGTCGCAGGAACTTACTGTCACGTGTGGGAGGTGGCTGTCCAATGTTGAGGTTCTCTACCGCACAGCCTGCGAGGTTCCAGCCACAAACAGACCACAATACTCGGGAAGCGCCTCTCCCTGTCTCTTTCAAGGGCGCGCCCCAGCACTCGACGAGCGGCGACTGTGATTGGTGGTCGATAGCCTACTCTCATCTTGGCATTCTCGCTCGCATCAAGAATAAAGGTTCCAAGAACAACCTCGTCGTCCAACAAGTCGTTGATACAGTACGGAAGCTAGCGCACACAGCGAGCAAGTTGACCGTGCCATCACTTACTTTTAGTGCTAGAAGGTCCTCGCAGAAGGCTCTGGAGCAGGGAGACGGGTGATCTCAGGTACAATTGCAGGACCTCTCGGACACCACGCAGAGAAACTTCAATGAGGCCAGCCGCATCGTCACCGCCAGAAGTTTGAAGGATTTTTGGGTGCGGGCATACACTTCCAGCAATCTCGGCAAAGTGCAAAGTAGACTAAGCCAAAGCCAACACACACAAGGCGGAGGAGCCTCAGCCAATTGCCTTCGGTGTCTCCCGTGGGTTTCATGAACAATCGAACTAAGGTTTGGGAGTTAGCGTGGATCCAGAAGAACGCCGTTTCTAATGTAGCTGAGTGCCTCACCACCATTAGGAAAAGAGCCCTACAGAGCCTCACCACTCTCGAGCCTATCACGGTCGCCCTCCTGGAAGACGTGCTCCAGAAGACCCCCGAAGGAAATCGAGACGTTGCCTCAACGTCAAGCCCAAGGACGCCTTACGTCTCCCCGTAGAAGCCAGACAGGATTTGACCGAGATCTTCCACGAGATAGGAGCGACGCTCGCATAGCGGTGGCAGTTATTGCGAGCTTGGGTTTCCCTCGCCCCCCAAAAGTAAACATATATTTATTGCCATGTTCGCGTCGATAGCCCGGCTGTGGGAGCAGCTCATAGGAGTCACGACGGACGAATGAGCAGAGCAGCGTACTTAGCAGGCACCATGGGACGACGCAGTTCTTGGCGATTCGGTGGCACAGGCCGCCCTCAACATTTTTTTGATGAGTGTAATGTAGAGTTGGGAACATCTCACGCATCGGCGCTGATGAACGTGCCAAATTTCTATGACTCCCTCAACCCCAACCTGGACATGAAGCCGCAGGATCATCAATGTCCCTGCGCCATCTTGGCGCTCTCCACAGATTGCACTTAGGGCCGCGGCACCTCAGAAGTAGGCCAAATTGTTCGGCCGCTATGATAACGACTTGGGAAATTCTTCCAGGGTGCCGCGCAGCACAGCATGTCGCAACAGCTATTCTACACGACCTTTTGCACCACACCAAGAGGCGTGTCTGGCCGCAGTCACCAGGTAGAAGCTGGATTGACGTTGTACATTCTAGAGTGGAGGGGCATACCAAGGACGTATTTACCTACACCACCGACTTTCTTATCGGGCTGAATCAAGGGCTTGACAACTTATACTTCAAGCTACCAGACAAATCTATGATCATTAATTACCCAGCCAAGCTATCGGACAATAGGTGGGAACACATCAGCAAACACAACATATCAGTGCGTACAACAACAACACCTGACTTAAGAATATATCGGCATCCTCAAACTAACCGGCGACGTTCTGAAGGTCAAGCCCGGCACCGAACAATCATCGATCGCTCACCAAATGTAAGATGATCCTCAGAAAGTTGCGGATGCAGCCTTTCAAGACAGGCGCCATCCCTCAGAGCCTGTACGAGGCTAAGTTTTTCGGCGCCAGCCCCAGCAAGTCACCTTTGCCTGTTAGATGGATAGATCCTCCAGGGGAAAAAGCAGGAAGTTGCCTCACCACCATCCTTGCACTGCAGATAGGAGCTAAGGATCCAGGGATTGTTGCGGTCATGGGAATATTGTGTGTGAATGGTTTAAGATTTCGCCTGCCAACCCTTCAGAGAATAACCAGAGCCCGGGCACAAGCGGGGCCAGGCTTCATGACGCGCAGGCCGACAGGAGATGGAGGAAAGTGCGAGGACCGATCTCAGCCATCATCGTGGCCATGCCCGATATAGGTTGTAAGCCCATCAAGCCCCTGCACTGGACTAACCCCGAAGACTTCGACAGAGTACTTGACATCGACCGCTTCGAATCGGTAGCTGAAGCCTGTAAACAATTTGATACATCGAACCTCTAAGCCGCCGTTCGCGCAAGAATATCGGAATTAAGTGTGACCCGACGCTTCGAAAGAATATCTCGGGGTTGGTCCCTTCAGTTTTTCGACAGCAGCTCAATGGAGTTGAGCGGCGTGGGGACAACGCCCCTAGAGGAGCCTTGATCACCATTGGCTGTACAGGCTGGTGGCCCAGACATCGGTGCGCCGAGGCGTACCCTGGCCAAGATCCCGAGTGCCCCAAGTGCCAAGAAGAGCCAGAATCCCTCGGGCACCGTGTCTGGAAATATATGTGCAAGCGGTGACACCGTCGACGGCCTGCCATGGCAAGGGCTTCGGGGCCGAACGCGTTCAGACTTAGCAGCCGACCAGCACACAAATTTTGTGGCTCCGTTCTCCATCCCTGACCCCTGGACCCGTACCCGACCCGCTCGAGGCCCATGAGGTGGGCAGCTTGGAGGGAGCCCTTGTCTCAGATCGTTCAGAGCCCACTTGGGCTGCGGGAGACGGTTCGGGAGAAGCATGCAGTGGGGACTCGACGCTTAAGAGATGCGCGTGGGCCTGGCTAGCATTCGAGAGGAGGGGGCACGTAGATATAGACATAACCCTCAATAGAAGCGTATCCCTAGGTGGAAACAAGCAAACGATGCACCGTGCTGAGGCGTGGGCCTTCATCGGTTGCTTGCAGACCATTCAAGGGGCCAACTACTTTCATCACGGACGTTGCGTATGTCGCCAGCGGCTGGGGACGACTCACACCAGGTCTTCGCCAACCTGAAATCAAAGGAGATGGGTGTGGAATGAGCTCGGCTCTGTCGCACTCAGTCGTGCCAACAACATCATTGTTTTCAACACCGAGGGCCACCTCGCCCTTGAGAGGGCGGCTCAGGCCAGGGTCCCAACGTTCTGGGCCGAGGCCACTTGAGCAGCAGACCGCCTCGCCAGGAACGAATCAGTTCGATGCCAACCTGAGGGGGAGATTTACACACCCGTCCTGAGGCTTGACAGCGAAGCAAACGAGATCAAGATGCGGATTGCAAGCTTTGGGAACTGTTTCTGAAAGCAACCGCGGCGGTGCACAGTCTGTACCACCCCCCGCCAAGCATGTCAGCGATAGCGCTGGTGTCGGACGATTCAATCAGCTGTGTGTTGCACCCCCACATCCTGCGGGATTGATGTCACGCAGCCC